CAGGGGTGTCTAATCCTGCTCCTGGAGGTCCAATGTCCTGCAATATTTTAACTCCAACCAGCTCCAACTTTCTTGCCTGGCAGTTTCTAGAGAGTCTGAAGACCTTGATTAGCTAGTTCAGGTGTTTAATTAGGAATGGAGCTAAACTAAACAGGTTTGGACACTCCTGTCCTAAGCCAAGAACTAGGCCCATACCAATGCCACGTTTACATGGTCTTAAGAGGACTCAAGACCACAAGATCAAGACTTCAACTTTGCTTTGGATGCACTGAGCTGTTGTCATGTCTGGGTCTCATTCTTCCTCTCTCTCCTTATAGGGTTAGATCACCCCAAAATGAAAATTCTGTTATTAATTACTCACCCTCATGTCGTTCCAAACCCGTAAGACCTTCGTTCATCTTCGGAACACAAATTAAGATATTTTTGATGAAATGTGAGAGCTCTCAGACCCTGCATAGACAGCAACGCAACTGTAATATTCCCAGGTCCAGAAATGTAGTGAGGACATCGGTAAAACAGTCCATGTGACATCAGTGGCTCATCTTCAGTTTTGAGAAGCTACGGGAATACTTTTTGAACGCAAAGAAAACAAAAATAACAATTTATTTCACAGTTCTTCTCCCCACATGGTCTTAAGAGGACTCAAGACCACAAGATCAAGACTTCAACTTTGCTTTGGATGCACTGAGCTGTTGTCATGTCTGGGTCTCATTCTTCCTCTCTCTCCTTATAGGGTTAGATCACCCCAAAATGAAAATTCTGTTATTAATTACTCACCCTCATGTCGTTCCAAACCCGTAAGACCTTCGTTCATCTGCGGAACACAAATTAAGATATTTTTGATGAAATGTGAGAGCTCTCAGACCCTGCATAGACAGCAACGCAACTGTAATATTCCCAGGTCCAGAAATGTAGTGAGGACATCGGTAAAACAGTCCATGTGACATCAGTGGCTCAACTTTAATCGAGTTATGCCTTCCGCCATTTTGAAGAGTACCCAAGAGCATAATCAATGTAATCAGCGTCGTTTACGTTTGGGGGAGAAAGCGCGCGCATGAACGTAATCTGCGTAATCAGTGTTGTTTACGCTTAGGGGAAAGCGTGCGTATGCATTGATACTCTCTAAAATGGCTGAAGACGTAACTCGGGGGATAAGAATTGTTGAAAAAAAATTTATTTTTGTTTTCTTTGCGCTCAGAAAGTATTCCCGTAGCTTCACAAAACTGAAGTTGAGCCACTGATGTCACATGGACTGTTTTACCGATGTCCTTACTACGTTTCTGGACCTGGGATCATTACAGTTGCGTTGCTGTCTATGCAGGGTCTGAGAGCTCTCAGATTTGATCAAAAACATCTTAATTTGTGTTCTGAAGATCAACGAAGGTCTTACGGGTTTGGAACGACATGAGGGTGAGTAATTAATGACAATTTTAATTTTTGAGTGAACTATCCCTTTATGGTTTTCTGTCTCTTATCTACTTTGGTGATCAATAGTATGTGGCATCTTACCTTGGATTAAGGTACAACTTTTCTCATAGATCAGATTTGGCAAAAATATCGCTTTAGTAATGCTTCAACAGTTTGCACTTTGTGGTACCAAAGAAATATATTATGTTGGTTTTGGTGTCTACTTGCAAATTACTCCCTATTTTCTATATCTTTTTGATAGTTTTGGTGTAAGGGAAATTAATATCTGAGACCACCTTTTTACATATTTTTTTTTAAGTGTAGCGTTTAGTCTTGTGTGCATCTTGTGTGTTTAGTCTTGTGTGCATCTATTGTGTTAGATATAGTGAGTGGGCTTAGCTCAAGAGGATGAAATCAGTGGTTATAATTAGGACCAGCTGATTATCCCTGTACCCCATCCTGTTGAGCTTCAACAGTAGCCCTTTTATTCAGCTAAAAGAACAAGAGAACTGGCCTGAAGTAAGAGGCTGTGACCCCTCTCATAATGTCCAGCCCTGTCCCCACCCTGCCGCCCACCCCTGACTTGCTGTCAATATGTTGTCCTTGTTTTAGATTCCTACTTCCTGTCTGTTACCGCCTGTCTCGCATGTGTAGAATAGTGGGGCTTTTGTAGGGGTTTATGGGTTCTCAAAAAAGCCCTTGGTGCTTGAGTTTCAGGGGTGCCAGAACGCAGGGAAAGGCACACGAACTACAGCCTTCTCTCTAGCCTGTAGACATTAATCTGTTGAGGGTAACCACTGGCTTGCTGACTCTGCAGTGTGCTGGCTCAGTAGGTCCATCCAGGAGGCCTCATATCAAAGCTAATTTCAGGTTTTATGCATGCCCGACCACTTCATGTCAATCTTTGTAACAGCATGCCCCCTCCATGACTGCCATGTTCTCTGATCTGTCTGGTTGACGCTTAGCCAGGTTCTTAGCATCCGCAGTGCCATCTGGCTTAGGATGGGTCATCACCTCTCTCTCTCCACCGTAGATCTAGCTGATTAGTTGAGAAGTGGATCAGCTGGCTAAATGGTTGGTGTTGGAATTGGGGCAGGGGTACTTGGTGAATCAGCATGAGTGGAAAAAGCAGCAGGTGGGATGTCTGATCTCTTCCTGCAGAATAGGGAGGGGAAAGGTATTCTGGGAATTCCGCCGGCACAGGAGCCCTAGAGGGGTTCAAGTAAAGTAGCCTGGCATCGTATTAGCAGAATAGAAGAGATTAGTCAGTTGTCCAGTTTATAACACCTAAGCTCTCTTCCAAAACCTAGTAAGCCACCTCACTGTCTACTGTCTGCATACTGCATACTGACTGAGTTAACACTCACTTGTGTGTAGCACTTGCATGGTCTTCTCGTAAAGCGCAGAAGACATTTGACTAATACTCAGTTGATTCCAGACTGAGTTGCTAAGCTAATGACTCTTATTCGAGCACTAAAACAGAGACTATGCAAATATCGAGTGGCGTTTCAATCAATACTGAAGTTAGCATGTTGCTAAGCTACACTTGTGTGTAGCACTTGCATGGTCTCCTCGTAAAGCGCAGAAGACATTTGACTAATACTCAGTTGATTCCAGACTGAGTTGCTAAGCTAATGACTCTTATTCGAGCACTAAAACAGAGACTATGCAAATATCGAGTGGCGTTTCAATCAATACTGAAGTTAGCATGTTGCTAAGCTAATACCTAAATAATATGAACTATAGTTAAAAGAAATATTGAGCAATACTTTAAGTTTGATGGAACTGTTTTTGGTACTTCGCAGATATAAGTTAGATATGCTTATTCAACTTGTCCGCCATGTTGGATATTGAAGTCCATTCTGAGATTGCCTCAACAATTAAAGTTACATAAAGATGCTGTTATGTTGTAATCTTTAAAACTTCCTCAAAAACAGTACTCTTATTCTGTTAGTGGGTTTCAGTCAGATTTCTGCTTTTTAAAGAGAACTGAAATTCTGTGCTCTGTTCCAAAACCTAGTGAGCTTACAGAGACCATATTTTAAGGCATCATAGCCACATTTCCGACATGAAGGTTGTTCAACAAGGTAGGCAACTTTAATTGTGCTAGGATATGTCATTTTATTTCTGTTTTAGACAGCATTGCATGTATCCTTCACAAAAAATGTAGTCTCAGAACGCATTGTGATGAGCTCAACTTAATGCAAAATTGAATATAAGATGGTGGCTTAAACAGAAAAATGAAATATTAATTTCATTTAATACTAAAAAGTTTTGTGTAAAATTGACAATTTTACTTTGTATGACAGGAATTGTTATGCTAACAGTACCGCATTGTTACTTTAGCAACATATTAGCATAAAACTCCATTGAAATCTATTGCAGCTCAACTTTAGAAGGTTAGAAGGAACACACTTTAGTCACAAGCATGTAAGGCAGTGTGTGCTTGTAAATGTCTGTGTGTTGCGAGTGTGTGTATGTGTTGTTCCTGTGTGTTCAGGTTAGGAGTGGGGCCTCAGATAACCACAAGGACCTCCTAAAGGCTAATACCTCACCCGGGGCAGATAACGGAACAATAGCTGGGGGCGGTTTATCATCCTTAGTGAACAGAAGGCGGAGGTGGTGTTAACACTCCAATGTCACTTGTTTCCCAACCCTCTGTATTAGGGGCTGCTCCTAGCAATCACATTAAAAGAGATGGTTTGTCTTACTGTGTTGCCTAATGTTTTTTTCTTGAATCAGCTGAGATTTGGGTGTTGTCTGAATCTCTGTGGTAGTGGTTGAGTTTGCAGTGTGTTGTGGGTTAAGAGCTGTGGTTTTGCCTCTCATGCCTGGGTGAAGCGTTACACCCTCTTGCAGCTTGCAGGTGGGCAATGTGCAAGATTCCACCAAGTGGCATATTCTCTGGGCCTCTGTGTGGCCTCTGTTTCTACTAGAATATGTTTGTGTGGAGGAAAATGGATGGAATGAGGAAGAAACTCCTCTCTGATTTTCTTTATTGAAAATGATAACATCCTGTTATCATGTTCAACCCATTCTAACCGATACTTCTAATCATTGGTCTTTCTTGCAATTGCAGTAAATTCTCATCTGTTATTCAGCTAAATAACAAAACCATTGCAACATATAAATCCTCACAATTCCACAACATCGTGCAGTATACCACAAAAATTTTTTTTAAATTATTTTAATTTGCTAGGCATTAAAGACACATGTACGTGATCAGTGAACACCTCAGGCTATCTCTATTGTTGAGTCCTGAAAACAGATGCAAATAATGGATTTCCTGTTATTTATTAGCTGCAGTTAAATTTTTTACTGAAGGTTTTTAATGGAAGGACCCGGAAGGGGTGACCATTATGAATGTAGGCAAGCTAATGTGCTACTAATAGTTATTAGGGTCACAGTTTTGTCTGTTAAAAGCCCCAGCTGATTTGCGTCGTGCGGCCTGTTGCTCAGAGGCTAGTTTGTACTTGTACATGATCAGTGAAATGAAAAAAAATAAAAATAAAAATAAGAGTGAGCTGTAACTGAACATTCTGGATTTTCAGAAATGTCATGTTTCTAACTCTCTCACTTTTTCTTTTCCGCAGTGGCCAGTGCCATGAAACTGAATCCACAGCAAGCCCCATTATATGTAAGTATTGCATAATTTTTTTATGTTTATTTGTTTCATTCAGTTAGCATGCTAAGCATCTTTGAGAGGTTGTGTCTTTAATAAATTACTTCTAAAAAGATGTATGTGAAGTAGTCAACCTTGGTTTTTGGGCAACTAGTTGACCATCCTGACCTATCCCTAGTTGATGGAAACTTCTAATGAAATCTTGCGCCAAGGCCTGCTCAAATTCTTCATGTTAGGCTGAATCAGCGTGTTCTAGTCTTCGGTCAGGGGGAAAGGTGCTGGGTAATTATGTTTTTCTTTTGTTTGGTGCTGACCCTTTTAATTAGACTTGCTTAAAGGGGTCATATGATGTGATTTAAATTTTTCCTTCCTCTTTGAAGTGTTACAAGCGCTTTGTGCATAAAGAACATCTGTAAAGTTGCAAAGACTAAAGTCTCAAATCCAAAGAGATATTCTATATAAAAGTTAAGAGGCAACCACGCCTACCTAAAATGGCTCATTCTAACACGCCCCCACATGTCTACGTCACGATGTGGGAAGATTTGCATAACGCCGCCCAAATGTTCACGCAAAGAAAGAAGGCATAACTTTTATTCTCACTGTAGTATTGTTGACGCTGCAGCCATGTCAAAAATCGACGCGTTTCAGAAAGGCGGGGCATAGAGGAGAAACAATAATGTACAGTATGTGGAAAATAATGTGTTTTTTTAACCTTAAACCGCATGAACACATTTCATTACACCAAATACACAAAATAATGTTCTTTTTAGCAACATCATATGACCCCTTTGAGGCATAAGAAGCCCACATGTCAGCAGGATGTCTAACTGAAGACACCACAGTACTTTCAAATCAACGGTGAGGACCGGAACAGTTCTAAATAAACCGCACTACTTGAACAAATCAGGCCATGTAGCTTACTCTGGTTTTTGTGCGTCCATGGTAATGTCAACATTCTGCCATGGATGTGACTTTGTTGACTGGTGATCTTGTTCAGTGATGCAATTAAACAGACACACAGGGTATAAAATTTAGTTTCTGGCATACCTGCTAATTCTTCTATAAATATTTATGAATTGCCATATTTTTTAAAATTTTGTTTGAACTGACATAAGTTCCAGTCAAGTGATGATTTTTATTAACAAGCCTTTATTTTTCTCATTTGGTGACTGATGAGTGTAAATTTTTAACCCTGCCTGCAGACCTCGGTAACACTTTAGCATAGGGACCAATTCTCACTATTAACTAGTTGCTTATTAGCATGCATATTATTAACATATTGGCTGTTTATTAGTGCTTATAAAGCACATATTCTGAATGACCATATTCTACATCCCTAATCCTACCCAATAGCTAAATTTGAAAGAATTGGACCTTAAAATAAAGTGTTGCCCAGACCCCATGAAGAGGACCATCTTAATTTTTTCTACCAGAAAAAGATGATATAAAATATGTAATTTGAGGTATAATGGTACAGTTATACGTCCTTTGTCATGAACTATGAAGCATGTCACAGATGCTGCTATGATTCATCATAAATGAAGCACACAGCTGTGGCTCAGTGCATTTGCTGTGTTCGTGTGTATTAGCATGTGTGTGGTTAAAGCTGCACGTGTGGTTTTTCCATGTTTAGCAGTTGCAGGTGGCTGGCTTGATGAGGCATTGTACTGTTTATTCTCAGGATGTCTTGATGAACTCACAGAAGTCACAAATGTCCTCAGTTTCTTTTCATATTTTAATGTACATTTTAAGCTTGGAAATGATGTCAAATTGAAAAAGTGTATATTGTAAAGCGGATATCATACTCCTAACAAGACTCGACACATTTGAATTTCACCCCTCATGAACTCTAGAAATTCTAATCGCAGCATCTGTTGTAGTTCTTTTGGTGCTAACTAGCATGTACAGTGGTTTGCTCTGGTTGAAGCGCTACTTTTTAGCTAGCCTCATTTTGTAGTAAGTTTCTAAGTTTTGGCTACATGACATCTACAAAAAACAAAACAAAAGATAGATTCATTTTCAACTTCATTTTTATTGGTAAGTTTCTACATTTTAGCTAAATGGCAGCTACAGAAACAAACAAAAGCTAGATACATTTTTGTAGTTTTTTTGGGGTAATTTTCTAAGTTTTAGCTACATGACAGTGGCAAAAACAAACAAAAGCTAGATTAATTTTCTAGTTCAGTTTTAGGTTTCTAAATTTTAGCTACATGACAGCTGCAAAAACAAACATAAGCTAGATTCATTTCAAGTTCAATTTCAGAAGTCAGAAAAACAAAACTGGAGAGCCAAACACAGAGGTTGCCGTCTGCGGCGCCATCTTGTACCATCTTTAGTTTTTAAGTTTTAACTACATGATGGCTACAAAAACAAACAAAAGCTATCCTCATTTTATAGCAGTTTTTTTTCAGAAATGCTCTGTTTTTAATAATGGTGGCTTGAGGAAGGTCAGAACTTTTGGATTATGACTTAGCAGGTGTAGAGACTCAGTACTTTCATGGTTGTTGTAGAAGCTAATATGAAGGAGCGCCCTCTGTTCAACACATGACGCGGGCTAATTTGCTCTCCTAATTATAAACAGAGGAATGGCGGTTTTGGGTTTCTGAAGAAGCAAAGACATGTCATGGAAACGTAAGCTGCACTTTGAAGTTTGCTTTTGCACTGAGCCTTGGTCTAAACTTGTTCTGCTAAATTTGAGCTAAATGCAAGTAGCTAAAAGATGCACAGTGGTCTCTCACTCCCACAGTTCTCTCAGACGAGGCAGCTTACCGAGTGTTGTTTTAAGCACAGGGCAAAAAGGCCAGGCACTCCTCCTTTGGCACATTGACTTGCGAGATCCTGAAATAGACCAACGAACAACCAAAGTATCAACAGTACTTCGAGAACCCCCATGAGCCCGCTTCAGGTGCCAAAAATGCTTCCTGAAAAGATGGATCCTATATTCAGCTAAGCCAAAAGATTCTGAGGACGATAAATTGGATTCTGGGTATTTTAGATCTTTTGCTTAGAAAATCTACCAAGGATTAACACACATCGGCCTTAAAATATCTCCAGGCCTGTATGCAGCATTGATGATTTGATGGATTGAAAAATCAACCTTGAATCCTGAAAACCAAAATCCTGTTTGTTTATAAAACAAAGTGACCCAATAAACACAAAGACCGGTATCAATGAATCTGAATCCCCATGTCTTATGGACACAGTTGACACCACAGTTGACACCAGTCACCAGGGTGGTCTTTGTTTCATTTGTTTATGGCATAAACAAATTTGTTATGCCCGGGCCTTTGGCACTTTTCCTGGTCCGGGCACCTGCTATCCATATTGGGCCGCTGTAGTCTAAAAGTGGCCCATGACTGACTTGTGCATGTTAGCAGTAAAAATAAAATATATTTACAACCAAAGAATGTTTCTGGCTTCTAATATAAAGATAGCTTCCATCAGTAACACATTTCTAGAGGCCTATGTATGCGTCATCAATAAAGTGTGGGCTTGGTTAGCCTTGGGACGTAGCAGTCAGATTCCTAAACTTTATGCATGTCGCTTAGATCAAAGGGTCACCATAACTGCTTCTCATGCAAGTTGGTCATATGACCTGGCCATAAAAAGCCCTTCCCACACCCAGGGATTCAACCGACTAGGAAACAAACTTTCTTGTGATGTAATTTGTGGCCTTAATTTCTAGCCTTGCTTTTACACCTTCACCTGCTTCTGTAGTTGTCACCGTAGCATCAAGAATAGGACATTGGGTGTGTGTTAACAAGTGCAGAATGTTGGTAATTTAAGTTTAGAGCCTAAGGTTATTTTTGTTGGCAATATTTTTGTTCGTCGTAGTTTGTCTTTCACTTTAAAAAGGATAGTTTACCCAAAAATTTAAATTCAAATTTTAAATTTAAAGACCTTTCTTCATCTTCGGAACACAAATGATTTTTGATTAAAAAATAAATAAAAAAATCTTTGCACTGTGCATGGTCAGAAAGCTCTCGGATTTGATCAAAAATATCTTAATTTGTGTTCCAAAGATGAACGAAAGACTTATGGGCTTCGAATGACATGAGGGTAAGTAATTAATGACAGAATTTTCATTTTTGGGTGAACTATTCCTTTAACAACTCAAGTGTTTTTTTTTTAATTTATATTTTATTTAATTATTAAAATTTGTATTAATTGTTAAAATAATAAAAACAGTAAAAAATAGTAGCAGTAGATAATAATAATAACATTAACCCCAGGATATTTATTTATTTATTTATTTTGAAACAACAACAGCAACAACAATAATAATAATAATAAAAACCTCAGAATATTAAATTATGGGTTTTTATTTGTATTTTTTACTTGTCGTAGTAATAATAATAATAATAATAATAATAATGACCCCAGTGAATGAAATTGAATTAGTTGTTTATTTTTTGTTTTATTTTTTTGTTTATTATTTTATTTATAGGTATTTGTCAAAAGAATAATAAAAACAGCAAGAGTAATAAAACCAGAATATTAAACTAAATTAGTTTTACTTTCTGTTAATAAAATAACAATAATAATAATAATTATTATTAATATTATTTATATTATAATTAACTGTTAACTATTATTATTATTGTTGTTGCTTTTGTTGCATGAAATCCTATTTAAATAATTAATATTATTATTTTAGTACTTTAATAAAGCATTCAAACTTTAATTTACGGAATAAATTAATGTTAAATAATAAAATTGGTCCACTGTTGAATGCCAGCACATCAGAATTTAATATTACTGTGTACCTTAACTATAGAAATATCAGCTGAGATTTTTCTCCAGACCTTGAGTGCACAGGAGTTAATCTCACTATGAGGATTCAGTCTTGTCTCCGAATCACTCCGCGGCTGTGATCATCGTCAGCCAAAAAAAGCAGCTGACTGGCATTTGGCAAGGGCACCATGTGGCTTTTGCAGCCTGGCCAATGAAAACATCTCTCGCTAGGTTGTCCCACTGCTTGCGTCACACTCTGAAGGCCCTGTGTGTCAGACAAAACTTTGTGGCCTAGCATTGTAGCTAGGTAAATGCAGTGTGGGAATGCTAGCTTCTTACTTTGGTTTTAGATAGTATAAACATTCCTTCTGCTTAGACAGCCCTGTCAAACTTATGTCAAGCCACTCTTTCTCGTTTATTTTTTTTTATCTTATGGTACTTCCTTCTCTCTCACTCTCACTAATAGTCTCATTCTCATTCACAAGCATCCTATAAATAAGTGATGATATCTAAGACGGAGGGTAGACTTTGTTCTTGTCACGCCTGGCGATTTGTTGCTGGTGTCAAGTGTCAGGTGACAGTATTATAAATTGCTTGTACAGACAAACTGGGAGTTATATTCTAGGCTTGTTTGATTGTTGCTACTTGGTGTGAGGCTACACATATCTATATCTATCCTTTTTGAATGTAACATCAAATAGTATAATTTATGTTATTTGTAAATAAACATTTTGGTGAAAACTATAATTTAATTAAATAGAAAGGCTCTTAGAAATTGTTTATTATTTATTTTTACATTTATTTTTGTGTTTATTTGTTTTTGTTTTGTATGTTTTTTGTTGTTGTGGTTTGTTGTTTTGTTTTTGGTGTTTGTTTGTTTTGCTTTGCTTTGTCTGTTCACCTTCCAGCCAAAAACAGGACTTAATAACATATCCACAATTCTTTCAAAATATATATTATAGTAGTTGTCAATACCATAAATTAGAAGTGACATTTAAAGTATGTGAAGAGTAAAAAGCTGTCACACACATACACACCCACCCTCGACACATGTTGAACCTTTATGACAGTAAAGCTATAATTATGAGGGTGGGGAAAAGCTGATGACTGTTTTTTTTTTTCTTTCAGCATTTGTTGATATGTATATAGGCTTCCGTTCTGTCGCTGCTTTCTTTGTAATGAAATGTGTCTCTCTTAATGGACCGGTGTTGCCTCCCTGTTGTTTGAGGATCCTATAATGATGATTTATAGGAGTTAATGCTTTGCGTTGTGTAATTTTCTGCACCCACAGGCGATTAAACACTTTATCAGTACTTCTTTTAGTCTTTCGAGAGAACACGAGAAGGACTTCTTAGTCCTTGATTGTCTCACTTCCACCATAATTTAAAATGCAAATGGATTAGTTTTCAGCCTAATAGTGACAGATATTAAATATTTAAGCAGTAATTCTTTAAATGCTTTATATGATCTATTTTCTCTCTCTTGCTCAGGGTGAGTGTCTGTTGACTGTCCAGCTCTGTGAGGAAGAGTGTGTCGAGGATGAGGAGGATGTAGAGTTTTACCTGCTATTCGCCGGCTCCACCCAGAGGCACGTTTCCAGCACTTTGAAAGTCAGCCATGTCACGCTGCAAGCCGTGTGCCCAGGTCAGTATTTAAAACCCCAACGGTCACACAACACATTCCGCGTACAGTATTTTATCAGTGCTTGATAACTGTTAGCTTCTTCCTGGAACCAGACGCTCATTACCTGCGGAGATCGACTCATTTACATTCCAGTCATGCCGGACCTGGTCCAGGCATTGCTTGGCACGTTGTCGCTTTGCCCAATTATTCACCCGCAAAATTGTCCCGGTTACCACAGGGTATTACTGCACTGAGCACATGCTTGAGCTGATTCAGATGTTCCAGTGCAGTTTCTAAAGATTCATGGACAAGGAGTAGCTATTAATGAACAGACACATTCTTGCTTAATGTAGTTATATGTTGAAAGAGGTGGAAGAAAATATAACCAGTGTCTACAAACAAATGGACATTTTTTTTTATTGGTGCAAAAATAGACTTGTCTGGGGATAGTGAGGGAGGGTTTGTTTTTCTGTTTCTGTTTGTCCTGCATAATATTTATTTATTTATTTATTTAGTTAGTTAGTAATTAGTCATTTAGTCATTTGTTCTTTTATTTATGTTTTTATATTTATTTATTTATTTATTAAAATACATGACTTGCTGAACAGAACTTTAATAATTGGCTTAAGTATAGAAAAAGAGTAATATTTATAGTTTTGACCACATATTGTCCGAGGGCTAGTGGAGGAAGGTTTATAAAGGTTATTTAGTTTGTTTGATATTTTATTTTATTATTTTATTTTATTTTATTTTATTTTACTGATATATGTATATACTAACCCATGGTTAGTAGGAGTTTTCCTTTTCTTTTCTTTTCTTTTATTATGGTTTTATTTATTTATTTTTTTTCCAAGGGATTGTAGGGGAGGGTTTTTATTTGTCTTTTTGTTTTTGTTTGCTTCATTTATTAGTTAGTTTGATTGTTTTATTTATTTTTCATGTTTTTGTTTGTTTGTATATTTTATTCAATTTTCAAAAAAGAAAGGAATGACCTAAGCAATTTTAATTTTAATAATTTTCATTTAATTTCATTTTATTTGACCGAGGGTAGTAGGGGAGGTTTTCTTTTTCTGTTTTTGTTTGTCTTTTTGTTTCTGTTTGCTTCATTTATTTGTTTGTTTGATTGGTTTATTTATGTTTCATGTTTTTGTTTGTTTATATATTTTATTTAATTTTCAAAAAACAAGAATGGAGGGGCCTAAGCAATATGTAAGAACTAGTAAGCATTTACATAGCGACAACCTAGAACATCCTACCAGCCACTTAGTGATGCCCTAGCAACCAACTAGAACACCCTGAGCAACCGTCCATTAACAGGCACAATCCATTACTGTAATGAACTGAAGATTTATCTTGTAACCCATCATTATATTGAGACATTTTTTCTTTTCATGGAACTGGTAGCATTGCGATCTTATCTTGTTTTACAAAGAAATAAAAACGAAAACACAATTTAGCCAGTATTCAGAGTCAAAAAAGAAATACATTTCAACTGTAGCCCCCGAGCACTTCCACAGAGGATCACAGTAGATACAGTGTTATGGAATCCAGCGCAGACGTTTGGCACCGGTTTTGTAATCACTACTCTTGCTGAGCACTTGAAAGCTTTTCAGCAATGCATTAAGAGTGCATGAAGAATGGCCCTACTATCGTCCTCCTCAGGTGCGCCGCTGTCAGCCCGCAAGGGTACACTTTCAACCCTCTGTCTCTCTGCTGGAGGTCCATACTTTTGGTTAATTCCAAATGTTTGGCTGCTAAGAGGCCTTTATCGGCAAAAATGGCTCAAATGCTTTGAACCCAGACGGATGTCCCACTGAGATGTTTTGGTCAAACAAATGTGCTGCTGGTGAGTGTGGACGTGTGGATCTACACATTGGGGGTTTTTCTGCATTGACAGAAAAGGTGCTCACTAACCAACTCTGTCCTTGTGACACTTGTTGTTGCAGTGACATCTCATAACTGTAGTGAAACAGCACAGGCTTCCTGGTATAGCCCTCATGGTAAAGTTCTAATTGTTTATGAATGTTGTTTTTATAGTATGTCGTCTCTGTCTCCGGCTGTTTCCCTCTTGGAAATGGAAATGAGTAGTGTTAATGCAGGAACATTTCTCAGTAATTATATCCCTCTCCGCTCAATCATAGGCACTTAGTCTCCTTTTTGTCTGTTGATGTGTAGCTGCCAAATTATTAAGCAAGATCTTTTCTTTTTTTAAATCAGTTTAAAGATGATTTAAAGGAGACCTCCCTGTTTGATACGAGATAAATAGCTAGTTAGTTTAGTCATAATTGATTTATAGTTGACAACGTTGTGGAAATGTTAGTGGGTGGTATAAATATTTTTCATTGTCTGCAAGCTGCACCAAAATATTTTGACTTTACATTTTAAAAGAGCTTCATACTCAGAATTGTGATCTAGCAGTGTACATTGAGCTGTGGTTCTCATGCTAGCAAAACAAGTTGAAATTCAACTCTCAGTGTTCCCTGATTCTCCAATCATACATACATACATGCATGCATAAAGTTAAATACAAAAATTTTGTTGCCATCTATTTAGTGCCAAGGAATATACCAAGCTTTGTATTTATTTATTTACTTATTTATAAATAAATAAATAAATTTGTTGCTATCTATTTGGTCCCAAGGAATATACCAAGCTTTATTTATTTACATTTGTATTTATTAGTTTATCTTGTGGACATCAGCAAAATCACTTGCATTTAAATTATTTATTTATTCATTTATTTATTTTCGTTTTTATCTTATTATTTACAAATAAATAAATACATTGTTTGTGTTGCTATCTATTTAGTGCCAAGGAATATACCAAGCTTTATTTATTTATTTACATTTGTAATTATTAATTTATCTTGTGGACATCAGCAAAATCACTTGCATTTAAATTATTTATTTATTCATTTATTTATTTTCGTTTTTATCTTATTATTTACAAATAAATAAATAAATTGTTTGTGTTGCTATCTATTTAGTGCCAAGGAATATACCAAGCTTTATTTATTTATTTACATTTGTAATTATTAATTTATCTTGTGGACATCAGCAAAATCACTTGCATTTAAATTATTTATTTATTCATTTATTTATTTTCGTTTTTATCTTATTATTTACAAATAAATAAATACATTGTTTGTGTTGCTATCTATTTAGTGCCAAGGAATATACCAAGCTTTATTTATTTATTGCATTTATAAAAAAAAATGTATCTGATTATTTATGATAATTATTTTTCAATTTTTTTATTATATATATTTATTATTTAATTTATCATTTATATTTCCATTTATTCATTTATACATTTTTTATTTTGTATTTATTAGTTTGTTATCTTGTGGACATCAGCAAAATCGCAAATGCATGACAAAATATAATATCTTTCTGTCCAATGTTTGTTTTTTGTCTCATAACAGCTCATGATCGCAGTGAAACTGTGCGGGTCATGCTGTGCCAGGCCCGGCCCGGAGGCTCAGTGGAACCTGTGGCTGAGGAATGCTTCCAGTTCGTGCAGGACCTTGCCCTGGACATGGCCCAGTTCCTGGTGAATGCGGCTGGGAAGACCGAGGGAGCGTTACTTCTGGACGAGTGTCAAATCCCCCTGAAGGAGTGTGAGAGGTTGGATGATACTCTGGCTCTTGCTCTTAGACATCTGCCTCTACCGGCAGGCTGGAGCGTCCTAGGCATAGACTTGGGCACGGGCACTTGCACAGGCTTGGGAATTGGTGAGTAGGCTCTGTTTTTGAGGTTTTCAAAGTAGACTGTTAGACTAAAACATGGATGTCCAAACCTGCTCCTGGAGGGCCAATGTCCTGCAGAGTTTAGCTGCGACACTTGCCTTGGTTCAGGTGTGTTTAATTAGGGTTGGAGCTAAACTGTGTAGGACAGTGGCCCTCCAGGAGCAGGTTTGTATACCTTGGGACTAAAACAAAAAATATAGTGGGCTGTAGACAGCATCCTGTTATGAAAAGTATTTTGGGGATTGTTTTGGAAAAAAATATAAAGCTTTAGCATGAAAGACTCTCAATGTATTCTATAGAGTCAGACATTAGCATGTTGCTAAGCTAAAAACATACTTAAAGTTCATTTCTATCAGTGCTTTTGAGCACTGTATGCAATACAAGTTCATTTATAATTAACAATTTTCTCAACTCTATCGCCATCCTGGTTTAATTTTCTCACCAAGCTCGTATCATTGCATTCTGGGACTTTTCTCCACAAAGGCTTTTTGCCTTAAAATTTGGCAAAAGAATGTGTTTTAGAAGCCAGCACAATTATGCTGGTGTCGCTTTGAACTTGTCTTGTAAATGATTACTTATTATGCCTTGAGCTGCTTTTGCAACCAGTGAGAGCTTGGAAAATAAACTTTATTTTTTGTTTCATCAAGGAGGCAGCTAGTTGAAAGAATACATTTTTCCTTTACATAATTTGCGTGTTTTGTAAGTAGGGATGGAACGATTACCGGTTTCACGATAAATCACGATAAAATTCCCTGACGGTTAGTATTATCGTTTAAAATTTAATTATCATCAAAACCGTATTTGATTATCGTGCTTTTGAAAACTCGCGGTAAATCCTGTCCAGCCAGCATCAGTCTGACGCAG